ACCCTCTAAGTCAGTAGTTCCTCAGTAGCAGTTGAATTGGTATACACACATGGAGGAGCCCATCATCGGCAACCTATCCTTGATTTATTGTGCAACTACTGGTTTAGTTGAGAAAATTATATATAGCTTGGCGGTGTGAAACGTCCTTTCAACAGATCTTTTGAGTCGACGTGTCAAAATATTACCCGCTATGTCTCCAGTCTCAGATGTAAAGTTTTATTTTTTCTGATTCAGTCAGAATCTCTTCTTTTTTATTACCTTCTATTAGGCATTTTCTGACGTAATAATCTGGATTGGTATTATTTCGCTATTTACGCTAACCAAATTTATTTTATATTGAAGACATGTGAAGCTTCGAAAATGAACGTACTGATCCGTCCATGTATTCTTTATAAACATATTTCTTTTTATGGAACCATCTATCCTTCTAGAAGTTAGGATTTTTAAACTACAGAACGTTTCGTAAATGGTAATAGAAAAAAGTAAATTGAGCAATGGAAAGATAATGGAGATAAGAAACAGTATATAATTAACTTTATAAACAAAGATGAGTAGTATCTAGCAATGAAATCCAGGACGCGCATTTCGTCCTATTTGTGACTCGTCAGCTAGATGATCACTCTAGTACTCGAACCCAGTACCGATCGCTTCAAATGCTGTCACGTTATCCACTTAACTAATAAAAATTTGTTTCACAAATTTCAACTCACTTCTGAACATCATACATCATTCAACTTTACATTAAAAGTTAAATATGTGTTCATATTATAATTGATCTTATTCACGTCAGTGTAAATATAGGTGATCAATATTAAATTTTCTACAGCGATCTATATATTTTGTCGGAAAAATAAGCATTAAAATGTAACATTTCAGGAATCAGTAGTTAAGTGGATAACGTGATAGCATTCGAAGCGAACAGTAATGAGTTTGAGTCGCAGAGTGAACATCAACTCGGATGCAGGTATATCCAGCTGATAAGTCCCGAATAGGACGAAACGCGCGTCCAGCTGGATTCCACTCCTAGCCATTATCCATCTTTGTTTAAAAAGCTTGTGACTTAAGGCAATATCGAGACAATCCGTATAGGATTCTCATATACTAATAAGAGACTAATCAATTGCAGTCCCAAACAACACTAAGGTCAAACCCTAACACATAGGTTACTCTGCGAGTGCTTACCCTTTAAATTACTGAATCAGCATTCAATCATTTAGATTTATAAAATGATAACTTGTAGTGACCTACTTTTATCAAGAGAACGCGATCAGTGTAATGGAAACAATTATTATTATAACCAATTGTACCACGGATTGTTTTACCGTACTCGTTTGTTTAACTGTACCAAAATACATACATTCTTCCGTTGATTATGACCTTGCACGAATTCGGTTACGCTCAGTAACCACACTTGTAACCTGGTACGATCTCGGTATTCTTTCGATATCACGAGATTGCCAACAAATACATGTCGACTACAGCCATCAACTGCCTTCTGATATTTGGTCTACGGAGGATCTTATCGGTTAACAATAGTCACGTAGTCTTCCTGTAGTGGTGATCATAGTCAACCGCGACTCGACGCCACACTACAAACTAATTGCTGGTATTAAATAATAATGTTACAATTTCATATGTGATTATAAAAATTGTTCAATGATTAATAAACGGATATGGCTGAAGTAATTACAATAATAATAAGCACATAATTAAAAGGCAGAACAGCCAGACGTAGGAGAATTACCAAATATTTCCTATAACACATCAATTTGATATCGCTCACATAAGAATAAATAAGTGATTATGAAAATTATGTAAGAATATAACATGTAATAGAGATTTATAAATAGATCTTGATAGACTCCATAATATGCATAAGATGAACATGTAAATCATTTGGGATGTTTGATGAAATACAGCAAATAACCTGGTAAACTTCACTCATCTTAACTTGATATTCTGCGCCTCCAAATGTCCTGGTACAGCCGAGAGTGGGAAGAGTCAGCTCAGTCTTTATCTCGAAATGCTCTCACATCACCACGTGCATACAATCACTGTCAGGGAAGTCCTACTCACTACTTTCTCGAGATGGGGGTGTTGTTTACGAAATTGAGAGGATAAAAAGCGAATGTCCGACGCTTTAACCGGGTCTGAGGTTACGGAGATTCCACCTAGGGGAGTTGGAAAGCCCGGATTGCAAACCAATGGTGTACATGGGCTCCAGGATTCTAAGGAAACAGATGGCGTATGAACCTATTGTTGGTCACCGGCTACCATGGGATCGAATCTCCTAACGTTACTCTACTGCCTTGTGAATTAGACCTTTAGGTCGAAGGCTCTGGGTGTGCCCCCTAAGAAAACCACCCGCTTCGGTTTGGGCACCTGGCATTATTCCAGCCCTCTTAGGATTCGAATGACTTCTGTGGTGCATATCTGTTTTGTACCTCCTTGTACAAATGTTTATGTGTTGAAATAAATAAAATCTATCAATTGAGTAAAATATAACTCCTAATCCTGTTTAACTGTGTTTTGCTTAATCAGCCGGAAGGATGTTTTGTAGATACAACGACTAATATGTCCACTTGTGCTCTTTTTGTAACTGCCTCCACAGGATCAACTGAGTTGATGAACACATAAAGACGTAATGAATTCAGATTATCCGTCTTTCTCTATAATTATAAAGCTTTTCGCAGATTTAACACTGATTAGTCACGACAATATCTTCAGCTTGGTGTATTTGACATCAAGAAATAAATGTTTGATCCATAATCATCTGCTAACTCACTATTGAACATTATTTGCCTAAATACGAATTAACTTCAATTTTCCTATTCAGATTTCTATCATCTTCTCTTCTTTTCCAATACTGTATAAAACCATATACTCTTCACTGATATATTTTACACTAATCGAAATAGGAATGCCTTTCGAAAGAAGGTTGAAAAGATTAAGCTGAAAAAAACCCAGAGAGGAAATACCATGAAGAATCTAAAGTACAACTGATGAAAGATGTGCAAATGAAGTATTTAATTTAGAGTTTTCATAATTTATAAAGATACTTTGTAATTTTACATTAAACAATAAATTAGTTTCCTCAACTTGAGTATTCATTCACTACAATGGTTCAATATCTTAAAAACTTTGTTAGCCCTAATTCTCACTCTAATTTGATCGTATGTATGATTGTTATCGAATGCAATCAAGTCAAATACTAAAATGAATCATGAATATGTATATTTCATACAACCGTTGATCTAGACAAAAGATCGGAGAAACGATGATGAGAAAGCGAGGTGAAATGACTCTCAGTTGAAAAGATATGTGAAACAACTTCATTTATTCAAGTGCTAATCGATATTCGTAATCTGATAGAAATACGTTACAGATACGTGATGGATAGGATAAGAAGGGCACATATATACCCACTCATATAAAAACAGTCAAAATTGGTAAGCGATTATTCAACAAGGTCATAATGTAGCTCAAGAAGGATGAATAAATTGGCTTGTCCAAAAGCTAGAATAACTTATGTGGGTTTAACAAAGCAACTGACATTACAAACCCATCCATTCAGGAGCTTACATTCATGAATTTTCTTCACTCAATTAATCATTATTCAATTACACTAATACAGTTATACATAACAATCAGTAAACAATCATCGTCATATAAATATATTGATATCGTAGATGAGCACTGCTGAGGAGTCGCACAATCGGACGAAACGACCATTTAGTGCTTCCAGATTTTTCATAGTGATCTAGCTTCAAGTGACTCAGGCACCCAACTATTAAAACCCTTTTCTAATTGCATAGTTTATTCCTTTATCATAACAAATTCAGATCACAAGTACATAACTTAATTATTTATGATTTAAGTTTATATAAGATCGACTGGAATTCTATTTTGATACATTATTATTATCATTATCAATATCTCACATAGTAATCTTGAAGACTCATGTGACCAGTCAGAAACAACAATATTCCTGTCAAATTGGAATGATGTTTGTTTTGTTGTTTTTTTTTGTGGAAAATTCCTGTTGTCAATATTTATGTTAGATTAGCTTAGAAACATGTGAACAGTATTTTTTTCAAAGAAAAATATATGACAGAAATTGATTCAAGATGGTTACCAGGAGAAAAAACATAATGATAAAAGGTCATTCCAAGTAAGAAAAAATAATATAAAGATGGGATAAAATATTGTTATCAGTGGTAGTGTGGTTTATGTTACTTATATCGACATAAGTAGTATATAACGCTGTCAGGAGTAGAATGTCTAGCAACAGAAGCTGAAGAACATGAAGGAGGACAGAACGGGAATGGAAAGCAATTAGCATGGAAGTGCAGGAACATTGAACTCTGAGACGATAAACTGATATTTGCAAAAGAAGCAGTCAGATTTGAGACAGTTGATTGATTGAGATCATGAACTGATTGGTGTTAGACCACCATTGAAAACCTGGAAGCACTAGACGGCCGTTTCATCCTAGTATGTGACTCCACAGCAGTGTGCGTCCATGACCCCGGCTCGCGAGATTCAAACTCAGGGCCTTCAGCCTCGCGCGCTAACGCTCCACCTCTAGACCAATGAGCCCGCATCCAATGGTATAATGTCTAACCTCAACCAAGTCACGAAATCGCGCGACCACCTTCCATTGTACTGAGATAGATACCTGTCTCTACCCGACACGGATCAGCTCTGATAGGCCCTGGGTTCGAATCCCGTGAGCGAGATCGTGGATGCGCACTGCTGAGGAGTCCCACAATAGGACGAAATGGCCGTCCAGTGATTCCATGTTTTCACTGGTGATCTAACATCAATAAGTTCATGATTTTATTCAAAAAACTTTATAATCTCCACAACCCTATAGTGACAAGTGATTGAGACTTTGCAAATGAAATATTCACTGTATGGTTCTCAGATCCTACTAAGATTCTTTGTAATTTTGTGTTCCAATACATTCGATTATCCCCACTCGTGATCTCGTTCACTACGGCAGTAATAGTAGTAGTAGTGGTAGTAGTAGTAGTAGTAGTAGTAGTAGTAGTAGTAGTAGTAGTAGTAGTAGTAGTAGTAGTAGTAGTAGTAGTAGTAGTAGTAGTAGTAGTAGTAGTAGTAGTAGTAGTAGTAGTAGTAGTAGTAGTAGTAGTAGTAGTAGTAGTAGTAGTAGTAGTAGTAGTAGTAGTAGTAGTAGTAGTAGTAGTAGTAGTAGTAGTAGTAGTAGTAGTAGTAGTAAATCTAATCAATGATAATGTTTGTTTGAGAATAAGAAATGAAACCATGGGATAAATATTAAGGAGTTGGCATGAAATAAATTATGTCATTGTGACTGACTTTGAACTATTTCACATACAGTCAACAATTATGGATTTTAAATTTCATTAGATTTTAACTGTGACGTTTGCAATTCTCGAAGTAGCTCAAATTGGTAAACTGTAACTTAATTAGTCCTTCTCTAAACTTTCCTTTTCAATCTACTACTAAGCCGATAGTATGTCCTACGTAGGAAGAAACTAGCATCTAATGATTTCTTTTTATATTGGTATCAAATGAATAGTCTTGAAAATATCTCTTAAGGGTTCTTCATTAAAAATAATGTTTCATCACAGGATTTTGTGAAGGTTGCGTAATATCCTTCATATGAATCAAGAATTGATCTTAGCCATGTCACTATCGAAAGCCACAAAGCATTGAACAGCTGTTTCGTCCAAATATGGAACTTATCAACTGTGCTTAGTGAGGACTACTCATGCAGTAATCAAACTCAGGACTTCCCATTTTGTGTGTTCAAACGCTCAATCTCTAAACCACTAAATCATTATCCGACCATAAACAACAGTTTGTTCACACATACGAAATGAAAATTTCTTAATTGCATTGAAAATACTTGAATTTACTAAGAAGACTGAAGTGGAAGATTACTGAGGTTTGTAAAAATTAGAACCTTTGTTGCTAGTTACAAATAATCATCTCTGAAGAGGGGATGAAAAGCGAAGTATGTATAACCTATATATACTTTGTTTATTATTTCATGATCATTATCATCATCTCATGATGATGGTAACTCCGCCTTGAGCCCCTTTGGGGCTACTGCTGACCTCAAACCCGGATAAAAGAGGAGGGTTGGAAATGTGGTTAGCGGCCCCATCCCGTAGAAAAATAACTCGCTAGAAAAACGCTAACCAGAATACTGATGATGGATTGAATAACCTTAGATCAAAGTTTATGTAAAAAAATAATAGACCACCTAGAGGACCAAAATGATAGTTTCACTTACAACAAAATTTAAAAGTTCTCAAATCATCCATATTAAGTGATGAACTTGAAGATTGTAAATTCTACTACTTCAGATATATGTTTAAGTGATTACCCTTTGCTTACGCCTGTCACCTTTCGTAGAGCGAAGGTCGCCGGTCAGCAATATTCAGCTAACTTTGACCTCGGCTCTCCTTTTCAGTTGTTTTCGATCGCTGTTTATTATTTTGATGTCTGCCTTACATTTCCGATACAATTCGTTCTTTGATATGCCTGTTTTCCTTTTGTTTTGAGGATTCTATGTTACAGCTCATTTCATAATGCAGTTTGATTTCTGTCATTTCCATCTCCATAGTCTTTCCCTAATTTCCTTGTCAGCTAGAATCTGTTTTATTCTCTGTAATTAATTATTACCTTCCATTTATATTCACAGCATAATCTTAATTTGCTTATCTGTCATTGTTTTATAAATATCATTTAATGCATAATTGACGAAATTGTGCTACTAAAAAATATTAGTATTTAAATTGGTGTTTGGAGGTAGTCAACAGGAAACCCTGAACCTAGATTTCGTTTTACTTGGCACTCGTCAGCAAGGTGTATCTGTAATCTCGAGGGAACGGATGCACTCTGACGGATTTGATCACATGTCACCCAGCTTCACAGACACAGACGTTACCACTGAGCTATCCGGCCCACGAGTGACCTCCTATAGGACTGAGATGTATTTACAATTGGTCGATCACTGAGTGGTGATCAATGTTATATATGTCAGGTCATTCTTAGAGCAGATAGAATACTATCAGCTCACTCATGATAACAGATACAACTTGCTGACGGGTGTCAAATAGCTAAGTTTAAGATGAAAATAGTTTGTAGATAAGTAATGATTGTTCATTTAAAGATTATGAAGAATAGAATAACTAAGAATTGTAATAATAGCTACTGAATAATTATGGAAAGAATAAAAAAAGAGTAAAGTAGATATATTATCGAGTATAAAAGTTAGGAATTGAACTGCTGACTGATTTACATAAAGCTTTTGACATATCGACAAGGCAATATTCGGAAACACTTTTCGAAAATGGTCTTTTCGTGCTACCAATGTAACCTGTCATACGTGTCTGTTTCAAGGCTAAATAATAAGCGATATATACTGACAGGCACACACTATTAGCCAATGTTTGGTTTAACTTTCTGAGGAAAAAAATGCAACACCACTGATTGAAAACCAGTCTCAATTTACTGAGTGAGACATGGATTTATGAACAACTTGTCAATGTACATTCGATTCGGTTAGTCAATTAACCTTCCTACTCACCTCTGATTCTCTCCCTTTGACAGCGACTTAAACATACATAAAGGTAGTGTATATATTAGTACAAGACTAGGATGACCGAAGAATATGACATTTTCTCAAAGATCTTAAAAGTCTGCTCTTGATTATCTCTAATGCAGAATCTCTTTCAAATTGAATTGTGATAGAAGTATTTTCTTTCGTCCTTCCGACGCTCTTTCATATTGTTGTTTGAGCTTGAAATTTTTACCAATAAACTTAAGCATTGAGCAGTTAGTAACAACCTACTATGGAAGAGAACAAACCAGATCTCAACGGAAGAAACGCTGCAAGTGTATAGGACACACATTGAGGTAAGCACCTAGTTGAGTCACAAGACAAGTCATCACTTGAAATCCTCAAGGTCAAAGGAGAAAAGGAAGATCAAAGAACACATTACTCCGAGAAATGGAGACAGACATGAGCAGAATGAACAATAATTGGATAGAACTAGAAAGGAAGGCCGAGGAAATAATGCGTTCGAGAATGCTAGTCGGCGGTCTATGCTCCACTGAGAGTAACAGGCGTAAGTAAGTAAGTAAGAAAAGTGAGTGAGTAAGTAAGTAAGTAAGTAAGTAAGTAAGTAAGTAAGTAAGTAAGTAAGTAAGTAAGTAAGTAAGTAAGTAAGTAAGTAAGTAAGTAAGTAAGTAAGTAAGTAAGTAAGTAAGTAAGTAAGTAAGTAAGTAAGTAAGTAAGTAAGTAAGTAAGTAAGTAAGTAAGTAAGTAAGTAAGTAAGTAAGTAAGTAAGTAAGTAAGTAAGTAAGTAAGTAAGTAAGTAAGTAAGTAAGTAAGTAAGTAAGTAAGTAAGTAAGTAAGTAAGTAAGTAAGTAAGTAAGTAAGTAAGTAAGTAAGTAAGTAAGTAAGTAAGTAATTATGTATGTATGTATGTATGTATGTATGTATGTATGTATGTATGTATGTATGTATGTATGTATGTATGTATGTATGTATGTATGTATGTATGTATGTATGTATGTATGTATGTATGTATGTATGTATGTATGTATGTATGTATGTATGTATGTATGTATGTATGTATGTATGTATGTATGTATGTATGTATGTATGTATGTATGTATGTATGTATGTATGTATGTATGTATGTATGTATGTATGTATGTATGTATGTATGTATGTATGTATGTATGTATGTATGTATGTATGTATGTATGTATGTATGTATGTATGTATGTATGTATGTATGTATGTATGTATGTATGTATGTATGTATGTATGTATGTATGTATGTATGTATGTATGTATGTATGTATGTATGTATGTATGTATGTATGTATGTATGTATGTATGTATGTATGTATGTATGTATGTATGTATGTATGTATGTATGTATGTATGTATGTATGTATGTATGTATGTATGTATGTATGTATGTATGTATGTATGTATGTATGTATGTATGTATGTATGTATGTATGTATGTATGTATGTATGTATGTATGTATGTATGTATGTATGTATGTATGTATGTATGTATGTATGTATGTATGTATGTATGTATGTATGTATGTATGTATGTATGTATGTATGTATGTATGTATGTATGTATGTATGTATGTATGTATGTATGTATGTATGTATGTATGTATGTATGTATGTATGTATGTATGTATGTATGTATGTATGTATGTATGTATGTATGTATGTATGTATGTATGTATGTATGTATGTATGTATGTATGTATGTATGTATGTATGTATGTATGTATGTATGTATGTATGTATGTATGTACGTAAGTTCATTATTCAATAATCTTTCACAAACTTCTCTTAGATACAATCATTTCACATTAGGGAAAGAATTTCAATAAAATATTAGTTTATAATAGTAACATCGGATAATAAAAAAATTGATCTAAATTTTAATCATAAATTTCATTGTTGTTAAGACTTAATCGGAATAATTTTTATTCCATTAAAAAGATTGATTTTTAACTTTGATAACAAATTGTTCTATTTTTTATTTTTATTGATTTATATACAAACTACTCATAAGATAATAATCTTATAGGTATCATTTATTTAAGTAATATAAATATAAGTTACTTTTTTAATTATTGATTAAAATTAAACTGTATCGTTTGGTCATATTGTTTATGGATTGGGTATTATATTGATTTATGAATGATAAATAGTCTTGAAAACTCTATCTGTAGTCCTTATAAGGTTACTGACGATTCAAGGTCTGGATAAAGGAGAAGGATTTGGTATGGAGTCAACAACCTCAATCCATAGAAAAAGAACTTTGCTAGATAATACTCTGACCAGGAAAAAAATGTTTAAATCACTTAGACTCTACATTGGAAGTTCAAGGATCTTCATTCAGAGGAATTGTAACTACCCATGATGACAGATGAGATACTTCGGGAATCACGTGGCAGATGCCCCCTTCTAACAACCAAGGTAATAATTTTTATAGGTACACGGAATATTCTAACAATATGAGAGACCGGGATGATTAGTCAAATAACCAAAAAAGTGAGGAGATATAACTCGGTAGTACTTGGGATCAGAGAAACCCATTGGACCCAAGCTGGACAGAAAAGGTTAGGTTCGAGAAAGATGTTGTTGTACTTTGATTATGAAGGAAAAAATCCTTTGCACACGCAAGGCGTCGCACCGATAATGTCCAAAGAAGCACATAATGCACTTATAAGATGAGAATCTCATCGA